GACTGCTCCAAACCCATCTCTGTGGTTCCACCAGATAAGAGGTCAGCGACTCTTCAAGTCACCCAGCAGCTCCTTGCCTAGATAGCCGCCGCCTTCCAGCCAGAGCTTGGCGTAAACAGCGGAAGTTGCATGACTGCTATTATGTCCTCATGCCTCTGCCTCCCCAAATTGCAGCTGGAGTAATTGGGTCAAATTGCTTCTGGCGTCGGACGTCCTACTGGAGAGGGCCTAGCAAAGTTTCCAGGCAGTTTGCTATAGAACATATATATATATATATATATGAGAGAGCGAGCTAGAGAGAGCTGAACAATGATATGAGCCTTCTGCGGGCAGTTCTGCAACTTTGCAATATGTAAAACTTTTATCTCCATGTGCTTTAAAGGGCAGGCAATCCATCTATCTTCTAAACAATACAAAGGATCACTCCTAAGTGTTTACCTGAAAGCAGGTCTGTGGTTATCTGCACACTGTACATCATGATGCAACCCCTGCACTTTTAATAGTGGCGTTGAAGGAGGAATTTCAGCAGCTGGATTTTGCATACCAAGCTACACCTGCTGAAATTCCCTCTCCTGCACAACAATTAAAGATGCAAGAGCCCTGCCCCCCTTTTTTTGCATCTGGGCACCTGGCTATATTGCCAACTCAGAAGTGAGACCCATTGAGCTCAATGGGTTTAGGCGGGCTTTGCAATCCACACTAAGCTGGGGAATGGATTGGCCTTTACTGGCTGGGAGTGAGGCCCACTGAACACAGCGAAACATCCTTCTCATGTAGATTTGCATGGTTAAGTTTCACAGGAAGAGCCGACTGAGTTTTACTTGCAATAAAATGTCTACCAGATAAGGCCAGAGAGCTAAGTTTAGGCAATTTTCCAGCTTTGGGGTTTTAACTTAGGTTTCAATGCGGCCAAATGCCACCGGGCCTGTTTCTGATTTTCAGACAGCAATTAATTTCACGGGCAGAGTTCGAATCCAGAACTCTGACACGAAACCCCTGCCAGGTATATGAAGAGACGTTAGTGGGAAAGGAAGTGGTGAAAGGAAGGCACTCTGCACATGCTTAAAGGCAGTCTGGTCCTAATGACAACAGGTTCCAGTGAGCCTTGGCTCAACTTAAAACCTTTCGGTTGAGTTTTATACTGGGAAAATCGAACAAGAAGCCAGAATTGTACAGTTAAACCTTGACATCTAGGCAAACATGTCCCTGCACTGATTTCATCTCCCAAATGTTGTGAAGCAGTACTTGCCAATCTTGCTTTATTCAGTATTCTGCATCATGGTATCAAAAGGAACCCAAACGCTATTTAAGTCTAACCCCATAGTATCCTTACCAACTCTCCATTACTGTTCCCATCCAGGCTCCTTAAAAGTCACATTAAAGGCTAAGAAGTCAAAAGTCCTTTAGATGGTACAACCTGGCCTCCTGTCATGCCTAAGAGACAGATGTCCTAACCCCGCTACTTGCCATAGCTGTCTTAAAAAGCAGATTTATTTTATTGCAGATTCATGCTGATTTGCTTGCGGGGAGGTCAGATGCTGCTGCATCAAAGCAAAGCAAATGTTACCCCACACTTTGCAGCACAATTTCCCATCACTTATCGCAAAGAGTCCAATTTGGGGGGGGGCAGGCTTGTTGCGCAAGACTTCCCAGCCAATTATAATTGTGCAACCTAAACCGGCCGGTGCTTGTGATTGAATCCCACCCAAAAATAGCAAGCTTCTGGAAGCACCCAGAGACTTTTTGGCCTCCAAAAAGCAAAGACAGGCGGAGAAGCTTCCGTTGCTCAGGAAACTTGCCAAATTCATCCAAAAACATCGGAGGACGGGGATAGTGCCCTGCACAGGCAACTCAGATATCACTTGGAGAACCGGAAATAAGACTGTCTACATTTAAAAGAAAATCTTTATAGCAAGCGAATGAGCCCTTCGCCGATTAGAACTGAAATTATGGCACAGCGCGGGAGGTTAAGCCTTTCGAGAGCACTATTTTCTTGATCAAAATACTATCCCCGTTCCGCTGCCAAAAACAAAAGACAGAGGTATCATAAAGTTTCTGTATTTGATTTGAGACACACACACACTGCTGCAATTAACACTGCAGGAAATGTGATCTCTGCTTTGGTCATCCACTCTTAGCTGAGATTTCAACTGACAGTACAAATCCTTTTGAAGGAAGTCTCCCTCTGTTCAGTGGGGCTTACAGAGCAACCCTACACAGGTCTTCTAAGAAAAGCCTGGGCCAAGTTCAAATGCCCTTTCCTCCCAGGTAAGCATGTGTAGGATTGAAACCAGTTAGCGTTGGGCTTTTTCCATCTGGTTTAGACGTTTCAAAAGTCTTCCCCCCCCTTTTTTGTCCTCCCCCCCCTTGAAAGCTGCAACCACCATTTGCCCAAGGAAACAGATGGTTATCGGCAGTCTAAAAAAAATGAGATACAGGCACACACACCTTCCCAGGGCTTTAAACCGTATGGGTAAAAATCCAAGAAAAGGAGAAATATTCACAGCCTGATCCTATACATGTAAGTTAAGTCCTGCTGGATTCGATGGGACTGATTCCCAGGTTAAGAGTGCAATCCTAAGGATGTCTACTCAGGAGTAAGTGAGGTCAGGATTGCTGCCCAAGGCTCCAGCCGTGCAGCCTGACCCACAACGAAAGGTTTTGCTAGGGCCAAAGTATTTATGCAGAGGGGCAGTAAAAAAAAAAAAGGGGGGGGACATAGCTCAAACGGAGGAAATCAGATGCTGCAATATAATGTAGACACCATTTCTCCCTTCCTTTCTTTCAGTTTTTTTGTTACCCAAGGAGAATTTGCCTTGAAAAAGATCTGCCCAGCTGTTCCCGTGGCCTACTACTAGATAGTTTGGTGGGCTGAGATTCTGGTAGATCCATCCTCAGCTCAGTCGCACTTGGAGCAGCCTTGTGGGAGTTGCTCCTTCTTAACCTTAGCTCCCTCCTCCCTCAATCCTGTAAAATGGGAATAACAGCGAGGCAGCTTACGAGTCTGATCAGACCCTCCAAATGTCCCCATTTTCCAGGGACAGTCCCGGATTTTCAAAAGCCGTCCCGGGTTCTGATTTGATCCCAGAATGTTCCGCTTTCCCCTTAGAACGTCCCTATTTTCATCAGAGAAAAGTTGGAGGGTATGGAATAAGACGTCCCTATTTTCATAAGAGACATGTCGGAGGGTATGGAATAAGACGTCCCTATTTTTATCAGAGAAATGTCAGAGGGTATGGAATAAGATGTCCCTATTTTCATTGGAGAAAAGTCGGAGGGTTTGGAATAAGACACCCCTATTTCCATCAGAGAAATATTGGAGGATATGCTGTTTGTGTGGAGGAGCATGAGAGGCAAATATTTTGTGTCTTAAACAACAGTACGCAAAAGACACATGCAAGCCATCCTACTTGGGACATGGCACCTTCTGCCACCCAACAACTGCCACCCCAGCAGTCGCTAGTTGGTTCACCAGCTGCTTGTGTTCACCCGATGTGGGGGATCTGTGGCTTTCCAGATGTTTCAGAACTACAAGCCCATCATCCCTGCCCATTGGTTGTGCTGGCTAGGGATGCTGGGAACTGCGAGTCCAGCAACACCCGAAGTGCCACAAGTTCCCCACACCTCCTCCAGAGGCTAGCAAGGAGTTGTTTTCCCAACTTGGCCAACTTCCTCCTCGCAGTTACCCATCAGCACCTCTCAGCTGAGCCTCCCTTGGCCTCAGGAGGAAGAAAGGGACTCTGCCAAAACACAGGAGTTGCATCGCCACACCCACGTGTTTCCTGCCGCCGCCGCCTCTCAGGGCAGTCAGCATTCCGCTCTGGATCACTGAGCCCCAGCCAGAGACGAATGAGTAGGCCTGAGACAGCAGAGGAGCGATGGAGACTTGACTCTTTCCCTTCCGTGCTGCGGCCCATTGCTCCAAACCTGTCAATATCGTCTAAGCCCATGCCAACACATGATCCCCATGTTATCAGAGCTACTGCTCTCATCAAAGAGACACCGACATATGTCGCCTTGCGCAGCGGCATAAAACCCCAGACCCCTCTTCTCTGCGATCCCCTCCATCCCAAAACTTTTTGCTGCGATGCTACGGAATGCGCAAAAACATTCTAACTGCAGAGGTTGGAAAGGCTGGTTGTGTGGAATGCTGCCATTCCGCACAGCTGCCGAGAGAGAGCGAGAGAGAGAGAGAGAGAGAGAGAGAGAGAGAGAGAGAGAGAGGTGAAATATTGGCTGTGTGGGTTAAAACACACACACACCCCCCCAAAACAAAACACCCTCACAAATGGCTAGGAACTGGAGGGGCTGAGGAAAATGAGGTCAAAGCGGCAGATAGGGGAAAAACCTGCATGCAGTGCCTAGAGGAGTGGGGAGGGGGTGAAGGAAAATACAGCCAAGGGGGCTGAATTTCACATAAGGATTTGACACGTATCAACTGATTTTCAGCTGCAGGACTCCACTTTTGTAGTACAGTGGTACCTCGGGTTACATACGCTTCAGGTTACAGACTCCGCTAACCCAGAAATAGTACCTTGGGTTAAGAACTTTGCTTCAGGATGAGAACAGAAATCGTGCTCCAGCAGCGCGGCAGCAGCAGGAGGCCCCATTAGCTAAAGTGGTGCTTCAGGTTAAGAACAGTTTCAGGTTAAGAACGGACCTCCGGAACGAATTAAGTACTTAACCCGAGGTACCACTGTAATGGATTGGGATTCCAACAGCTGGAAGTCCCAAAGCAATTGTGAAATCGAGAAGAAAGATCAAACATCCAAACACCTGAAACTATTTTTTCTCTTACTGTCCTAAGCTATTTTATTCCAGAGCTGTGAAACTCCTGCTGAGGATCTCCCAACCATCTAGGGCCACTTAAATCCAGCAACTTCCTGAGATTTTGCTGGAGTTCCACGCACATGTCCCTCTCACGCTCCCGTTTCCCTAAACAGAGTCGGAAAGCTAAACAGACCAGGATATTCTTATTTCCAATGTGTGCTTGTTTCTACCTGAGTCTGGGTCAGTCCAAGCTGCGCGGCCAACTCTGCCCTCTCTGGCAGCGCCAGGTACTGCGCCTTTTGGAATCTCCTCTGCAAGGCAGCCAGCTGGTAACTCGAGTAGATCGTGCGCGGCTTTCGGATCTTTTTGGGCTTCCCGTTGACCATCCGCACTTCTGGCTCGGGTTCTTCCTTCACTGAGACTGCAGAAAGGGGCAGAGGGAGGAAAGGCAGAGGAAAAAATACATCAGAGCACAAAAATAAATAAAACCACAGCGAGTTGCTGGATCAGAACTGGAAAAGGAGTTGCGGGAAAGGAGTTTGCTTTTTATACATTTGGAGCGGCAAGCTGCCTTTCCGCAGAAGAGTCCAAGTTCTCGGTCTCTGCTGGAAAAGAGAATGAATGAAAGCCTGGCTGCAGAGAACAACGTGGACGGCAAAGATCAGCCCTTTGAGAATGGCGGCTCAACAGAAGGGCAGGATAACTGTGATCTCCTCTGGAGACTATTTTATTTTGCTGGGCTGCTCCCCAAAACTCTTAATTTGTCCCCAAGAACGCGCCCGACTTCTGCACACCAAGAAAACATCTAACTCCCCTCCACTGGTTCCCAGGGGTGCAGAAAACATGAAAATTAGAAAACCAATCTCTGATGTCCCATCAGACCCATCACACAACCCTATGTGGCCAGATACATATAATGCCACCATAGACATGGTACCTCCATCATCCATTCCCCCCAACCCTACCCATTTCTCAGTCAACAATGCTTCATGAACTCCATATTTTAGGGCTAGATCGGGGAAACGATGTGTGGTTTAAATGGGGTATCTGGAGCATGCTATGGGAAGCAAAGATATAAGGTTACATCCAACCTGAGTTTCACTCAAAGTCGACCCATAGGAATCATGCATTCCAATTTCGCCCTGTCAATTCATTTAAATGGGTTTACTCTGAGCAGGTACAGCATATTGTACACTTGGGATGAACCAGTCAATTCACCTCTCTGGAGTCTGTACCGCAGAGGTTGCTTAGAGCCAACTGTTGCTTTATTGTCATGAGACAGAATCAACTTTACCCATGAATATTGGAAAAGACCCTTCTCCTGCCCAGTCTTCTGGGAGTCTGTACCATCCTATTCAGTGGAGATTCCACTGATAAGATTTCAGAAAATAATCAAACTTCCCGTGGTTTTAGCACTTTTCTTTCTCTTCCCTTGCCCGATATTTTTCTCGTTTTCAATTTTTCCTTCGCTCGGCTTGACTCTGGTGATTTGATCGCTGCCTGGGTTTCTGTATTCAGATTTCCCTTTCTCCCTCTGCTCTAGGCTCAGTTTCTTCACTTTTTCACCTGATGTTTTTAGCATTTCCAGGGCTGAACATGGCTGGACTTTGGCCTAGCCGGCTTTGCTCTGCTTCAAACCTCCTGGCTCGCAAAACCTGCCTCCTCCTCCTCCTCCTCCTCCATGTCCTTCCCAGTTTGCCTTTCTAAAACTGTCTCCATTTCTCAGTCTCACTCGTGTATCCATGGATATTTTTTCTCCCTGGCAGGAAGCATTGTCCGGTTACGTGGGGACAGTCGGAACCACACAGCCCCCATGTTCCCTTCCTGAAATATTTGTGGGGAGTGAGGGCGTGAATTAGGCCTCAAACGGCCGGCCAGCATCTCTAGCCTGCTTCACTTGGAAAATCGGCATGCTCAGTTTTGTTGACAGAGAAAGACTTTTCTCACCTTTACACACCTCCATCCTAAACCCATGTACTTGGAAGCAAGAACTACTATTTTCCATGGAGCTTTTATTTTTAATAAAAGAAACATATTGCCTTCTTGCTGGCATCTTTTGCTTTTTAAACTTTCCACTTTGTTTCCTACGTTTTAATCGGTTATACCAAATCAAACATCTCTCCTCTTCCAATCATAAGTTGCAAAGTATCTCAAATAAAAATTTTTGGAGAGGAGGGGAGAGAAGCCCAGCAAATTCTGCACACCTGTTCGTACACTCACAGAAAATAAATACGTATAAACTTGGGAGAGACGGTCACAGGACAAAATAGTGGTGCTTATTTTTTAAGTGTGCATGTTATGTGTGTGGGGGGGTGAATATTCTTTTTGCCTTCGAAAAGTCACAGAATCAGTGGGGGGGGGGGAGATGTACAAAATATCAAACCCTCACTTGAACAAAAGAAGCTATTGTGATATTGTTGTAAAAGTCACTTGTAGTTTACATAAGAACAGACAACAATCAAAAGTCACGAACCAGTTCATAATAATTTTTTATGTAGACTGGGTTATGAAGTTATACTGTTGGGTATTCCTAAACTTGTATCTCTTAAGTACACTGAAGAGATTTTATTGATCTAGGAGGGAAAAGCCGTCTTCAGATATTTTTCTCCCCTCTTTCTCGAACTGAGAGAAGATAGTCCACAACTGCTCTCAATCCCCCTTTGACCAGGAAAAAAAGTTGTATAACCCGAACATCTCCATCAGTGGCTTTGCTATTTCATGCCAGAATAAAGCCTGCAATGAATTCTTCATATTACATCTTTTATAGCAGAGTCTGAATGTGGCAAATGGCAAGGGGATAAGGAGGGACAGGGCAGGGCAGTAGCCCCCTTGACTACGCTGTTGTCGCCTCTAACTTGCCAGTGGCCAGGGTTGTGCTTCTGAATGGGATCACAGAACTGGAGCCCCCGTTTCAGTCTTTTAATATTGCAGGATAACTTTATGGACGGGACAAGCAATCTGGTTTGAGAGATGCAGAAACGTCTAACAGCAGCAAGCCCTGAAGTGAATGTTTGTGGATCGAGGGCACTGATTTAGCCTCATCCTAGAAGATCATGTTTCTAGTTCAGTGGGGCTGCTGGACCCCTCCAGAAAGTGTACTTGTTGTCTAGTGCGACAGAGCAAAGGAGACGTTCCCCGTGTTCAGTTTTCCTGTTCAGTAGTAATACCTTTCTCAGAAGATATTACCAAAGTATATCCTTCTCCTCTTCCATAAGTAAGAATATCTTCCAAGAGAATGGGGGGAAAGTGATTCCACTTTCTAGGAAGGTCTTAACCTCCCGGAACCCTAAAACTCCCCTTTCTCAATAGTGTCACTAACACACACACAAACACACACACACACACAAATGCACACACACAGAGCTTCTCATACCCTTGACTTCGCTCGCCGGGAACATAAATATTCTCCTTACCTGTTTCTTGACTGGGCAATGGCTGATCCCGGAAAGATCCATACGGCCTGTAGGAAGCGCTGTAGGGGTAATCAGATTTTGGGGAGTACGTCCCAGCACCCCCAATCCCATTGAGGTTAAATTGGGGGTGGTACGCATAATGGTTCATCGGCTGGGTGTACGTTTGGCTGGGATAATACTCGTGCTGGTTATGTGGGGTGCTGTAGTAACCCAGATCCGTGATGGACGACTCGGGGAGCGTAGGGGAGTCCTTGGTGGCCACATGGCAACTCAGGGAGCTGGAGATGTCCGTCAAAATACTGGTGATCTTCTTATCAAAGGATCCACTCATGGTGAGAAGGTCCACGCCGCCGTTGCAAAGGTCCACCAAGTTGGGCAAAAGGAAACCAAGCCCACCCACCCCTAAAAATAAAAGTGTGCAAGGCTTGCTTGTAGGGTTTGGGGCAGATCTCCTCCTCTTCTTCCTCCTCCTCCTGAGTAGGCTTACTCAGTCATTGCTGCAGTAATAGCTGCTGCTGTTCCAGCCCTCCTCCAGGGAAAATGTGTAAGAAATCCAACCCAGCCAGCTTGCTTAAACCCTTTAATTAGGGAGTAGGGAAGGGTGGATACTGCATTCCGATTGGCTCCAGAAATATTGCCTTGCAGGCAAAACAGACTCTTCCCCCCCTCCCTTCTCTCTTTGCCTTTTCTTTCTTTCCATCTCTCCATACTTTAAAAAAAAAAATTAAAAAGGGAGCGGAGGAGAAAACAAATGCAACCCCTTCGAAGCACACATGCACACACATATTTACATATACATGCCTCTTGGGAGCATGCACTCACACACACATATATATAACACCTTTGGAGAGGAGATGGATGCCCCCCCACCCCCCACCCCCAGGGTGGCTCTCCCTATATCTCCCCCCTTAACTGTGGGAGGGATTAACTGTCTTATAAAGAGGTGCATCCGTTGGGATGGGGAGAGAGGCAGATCTGTTCTGCGTTTGTTCTGTTCACCTATGGAAAAGTGTGTTTGGGTGGCGCTGGGCCTGATTTTGGGGGGTCTGCATGCGGCCTCCATCTGTCCCATTCCATCTGGAATGGCAGAGGTGCACTCAAATTCTACGGGTTTTTGTTTAAATGATGCACAGAGCATTCTTTATCTGTTTTTAAAGCACTTCACAAACCGTTGCCGGCATTATAGTCTGAGGTGGTTGGAACCCCCCCCCCCCGTTAAATTGAAAGTTTCTACCTGTCCTTCAGAGTCCCCTGTGAATTCTCTTATAACACCTGGATACCTTGATGACGGATGTAGCACTTAGTTCACTTGGTTAGAGGATGGTGCTGATAACGCCAAGGTCATGGGTTCGATCTCCGTATGGGTGCGTATTCCTGCTTTGCAGCGGGTTGGACTAGATGACCCGTGGGTGTCCCTTCCAAATTTATGATTCTATCATTCATTTGCAAATTGATTTCAGGAGTTCATTACACACACACACACACACACACACACACACACCAGATCCAGCACTTGTTCATTTACAAACTGCTCTGCAAATCTTTATTATTATTATGTCTTTGCAAATCTTTATTCCACCTCCCATTCCTCCGACACGTGTACAGTGAATCCCGATTAAATCCAGCTGAAAGGAAAAGGTGGGGTTTAAACAAAGTTGTGACTGATTTCTTTGTTGCCTTTTATTGGAGGGGTAATTGTTGGCTGGACCTGAGCCAATGCACTTCTCATAATAACCGCCTTGCGAGGCAGATCCTCTTCTTCCCATTTTATTGATAAGGAAGTGAAGCCCAGAAAGCAACACACCCAGAGACAGGATTTGAACTCCCTTCCAGATCTATTTCACCATATGTAAGCCAAAGTATCAGTGTTCCAATATGTCGTGTTCAGGGGAGCACATATGCGATGCGTGGGTTCTAAGCGGGCATGCATTTGTGCATTTCTACACGGATATCTGTGTCTGGCAATGTGTGTTTCTAGCTGCGTGGATAAGGGACCTAAATAAATCACATACACATTTTTACATTTAGCAAAAAAAGTTTCGGGTCTGAGTTTTGAAAACGTTCACATTTGGAAAGGTGAAATCTTTTTTTAAAAAAGAAAGCTTTAACTAAGCGTTTTAAGGCTTTAGCACCTATCTGGCAAAGTCGGGGCTTTTTTTGTTTGTTCTGAAATCCACCCAAGCCAGCTGTTTCCAAAATTAGGCAGACGGAAGAGCCTTTGCATGAATGAATTTCTGCAAAGCGTATTCAAGTTAGAGAAAGTTGTGGGAGAATTTCCCGCTGGCTGCTATGTTGGTATCATTCTTCTGACTGTATAAAGCAGTTGCGAGGAACCTTTGGCCCGCCAGATGGGGCCAAACTAGAACTCCCAACAGCACCAGGAAGCAAGCAAACATGTCCAGGCCTGTGCTTGTCACACTGTACTTCTTGGATTTCGTGCCTCCCTTCCAGTACAGAATCATGTGGGGGACAAGATAGCTCAGTGGCTCAAAAGTGTTGGCCCCAACCCGAGTTCAAATCCCACTTTTCCCACAGACTTAACCTTGGGCAAGCCTTTTATAGAAGGCAATAAATTAAGCTGATGATAACAACTGGCCCATCGCTGCTAATGAACCCAGTGGCTGAACAGGGATTCCAGCTTCTCTCCCTATGCAAATAGTAGATTTGGGTGGGCAGGCAGATTTTAATTGGGACTATTGCGCGCGGGGGGGGGGGGGAGTTAAACTCACCATGCCACATGGACCCGATCCGCCATGCCCACGTGCTGCTGTGAAAACAACCACACAACTTAAAGTAATGCTGGCTGCATTCAACCCTTAATAAAAATGGAAATATATATGGACCCAATGCTGGTTCTACTCAGAGGAGACCTGTGGACATTCATGAATCTAGGTTTGTCATGTCCTTTCACTTCAGTGGGTCTAATCTGAATAGGACCAGCATTTGGTACAACCCATTGGCTGTGTGTGTCCCCTTTCTTAAAAAGCAAAACAAATAAACAATTATTTACTTGTTAATTCCATTACAGTGGTACCTTGGGTTACAGACACTTCAGGTTACAGACGCTTCAGGTTACAGATTCCGCTAACCCGGAAATAATACCTCGGGTTAAGAACTTTGCTTCAGGGTGAGAACAGAAATCGTGCGGCGGCGGCGGCGGTGCAGCAGCGGGAGGCCCCATTAGATAAAGTGGTACCTCAGGTTAAGAACAGTTTCAGGTTAAGAACAGACCTCCAGAATGAATTAAGTTCTTAACCCGAGGTACCACTGTATTATTTTGTCTTGCCGCCTGCCTGTCCTCACGAGCCAAGGGCTCCTCTTGCTTTTTACGTTGTCCGTTGCCACTGTGCTTTGAAGGGACAGCCCCGTGTGTGGGAATGCGCCCACAAATAGATGCCTTTGCGCAACATCTCGCAATCCTATGTGTGATTCATTGCTCCCATCTCCCTGAGCCCACAGACCTGTATTTCCGAGACTCTGAGATATGTTGTTGTCTCGCTTTGCATATATGCAAAAATGTGGCAACTCGTCATGCTCTTGCTAAAGGATCGAGGTTGAGAGCTGGGGATTGTGGGTGTAGCAGATATTTCTGGTGCCAAGGAAGAAAGGAAGCTGCCTTGGGCTGAGCCAAACCAATGGTCCATCTGGTTTGGGGTTCTCTGAACTAGACAGCTACTCTTTTCCAGGGTTTTGGGGATGGGGCAGTCGCAGCCCTGCTCAGAGACCCCACTGGGGAATGAACCTCGACCATTGCGCTACCACTGAGCTACTGGCGTATGGGTTTGTGTGTTGGCTAGGGATAAAGCACAGGTGGAGTTGTGCGATGGCAAAGAATACTGGAGAACATTTGTGTAGGTGGCGAAGGTTAGGGCGTAGATGGATTTAAATATGCGTGAGGCCACAAGGTTCATCTCTGAGCACATGGCTGAGCAGTGTTTTTTGTTTTTTTAGAAAACTCACCATGAAGTTGTGACAGTAAGGGCCACAATTTTTAACCCCCCAAAGGTATCAGGACTGCTTACCATTGAGTACCCCCTGGGGGAGAGCACTGGGTAGGAGACTGAGCACATAGGGGAAAGATAATCCGTGGGGTGTGTATGTTTAGGGATGCTGAGAACTGGGAAAACAGAAATGTTTGGGATGCACCATTTGGAGCCAAAAGAGTTTGCAAAAACACCACGTGGAACGGAAGGCGCAGCCTTCGAGAACTGGGCATTTCAAATCGTCAAACGTTTTCTTCTGTGAAACTGGATACATTTGTGTGTGTTTTCCCCGACACTTTTGCTTCACCGAATGCTAAGCCTCGTTGATGGATCTGAAAGCAGCTTGGCCCCAGATTCAGTAGCACGCGGCCCTGTGTTTCTGAGGCTGCAATCTTGCTTCTGAGAAGATGTGTCCAGGATGGCACTGCAAAAGTCCAAACTGAAAAACAGGCTCCACAATGAGGAATAAGGAAACCAGAACAAATGAAGAGACTCGATAGACTCCCCTTTGATCTAGCCCAACACTTTTCTAAGAATTTTTCTCTGGGTTTATCTCCATGCTCATTTATTATCATTTATTTGCAAAAAACTCCTGTTCCACCAATTAAGGGGAGGGGGGAACCCCGTGGTGGTCAACAACAAAAACCCAGCAATTAAAAAACAAGTACAAAATCCATCACAAAGCAGTAGATCGACTTAATCAATCACCCCTCAAGGAAAGCTTGGGTGATGAGTTTAGCTGTAAGCAGATGTCTACCTGATGTTAATTTGAAGTACATTCCAAAGTGGCAGGTGACACCACACTAAAAGTCCTGCTCTCGGTGGATATAAAGCAAACCTCGAGAGCATAGGAGTAGAGGATCCAAGAAGCAGGACAGGGATGTAAGATGAGACACCTTTGGTCACAACAGGGGTCAGGTGTGAAGGGAGTAACCAGAATCTGCTTGTTTCAGAGGGATCTAGTGAATCTAAGCATCTCAGAGTTTCAGCTTGTTCTCGCCCCAGCAAGGATGCTCACTGTACGCAGCCATTTGACACCTCCAATATGGGACATGCATGGCTGCAGTGTAGAAAAGATAAATAAACTTTTGTTTCAAAAATTATTAGTGCTGGCCTGCCGTTTGTTCCTGACTTAATTGCATTTATATGCCAGCTTTTCTCCACAGAGCAAAACACGGTGTGTGGTTCTTCTCCCATCAGTCCTGTGAGGTATATTAGTCTGACTGGGCCAAGGTCAACAGGTTAAATCCCCTGAGCGGGGATTTGAAACTTTGGTCTCCCAACACTCTGGTCTGGTGCTCTAACCACTATGCCACCCTGTCCTTCTGCCTTCACAACCTCTGAGGCCTCTTACAGCACACTCGCAAACACAAACTATACCATCCCGCTGCTTGTCTCTGATGCCAAAATGATGGCGTCTTGTGGAATCGGCGAGCAAAGGAACCAGTGGATCGGAATGACTTTAAATTTAGCCCTTAAGCTTCCTTCCTTGTCCAGGTTGAGATAAACCTCTGAGCCGATGAGATTGTATTGCCGTTGTTTTCCTTCCATGCTTTCTAGAAGAAGAAGACCTCTGCC